GCACTGAGGAGTTGCTGCTGCAGCACGGCTGGGCTCTGCCTGCCAGCACATGTAATGGCCTCATGGAGCAGAGGGAGCAAAGAGCAGGGACTGAGAGGGAAGGAAAGCAACTGAGCTGCTGAGCCCTGGCAGCAGGGAAGTAGTCCAGCACGTGCTCAGAGGAAGTGCTGGGCATGCAGGGAATCTGCTGGTGCAGAAGTCAGTACTGCATGGTGTGGGTAAAGAAATGGGTGCCAGGCAGAGTCAGCCTTCAAAGTTCTCTTGTGAAAATTAATAACAGAGGTGGTACTTCTTCAGATTAGTCTCACTAAGCTGTTTTTGTTTCAGGTGAATCTGGTACAGGAGTTAGTCGAGATGAATATATTGCTCATGTTGCTAAGGATATAGAAAACAAAATACCAGAAGTATTTGATCTCAACAAGATACGAAAAGCTTTTGGACTGGAGCTACCCCCTACAACTGTGGTGCTATTGCAGGAACTGGAACGTTTTAATAAACTCATCATTTGCATGGCAAAGTCATTGGCTGAACTGCAGCGCGTACGTAAGAGCGCTGCTACTGCTGCTCCCAGCAAGCAGATACAATCAACTCAGGCTTTAATTGCCTCAGCTCTGGCACTCAGGACTGTCACTGTCGTTCCAGGCCTTGGCTGGGGAAGTTGGAATGAGCAGTGAACTGGACGATGTGGCTCGGGCACTCTTTAACGGACAGATTCCTGGCATCTGGAGGCGGCTGGCACCTGATACGCTAAAAACACTTGGAAATTGGATTATTTTCTTCAGAGATAGGTATAACCAGTACAGCACCTGGGTAAGTAAGTGAGAGACTCCAGAAAGCTCTTTTTTTGTCTGTTTTACACACAGTGCAAATTAATGATGGGGTACAGAAGTCATTGACATTTCACTGCTTTAAATAACTTAATTTGAACTTATGCCTATCAGTCACCACCTAGCATGAGAATGAAGCCACTGGTTAACCTTTAAGATTGGCCTCTGAGCTGAGGAGGAGGTTTGGTGGAGACCAGGCCAAGCACTGCAGGCTGTCTTCTGTTACTGATTACAGGTTAATGACTGTGAACCAAAGGTGATGTGGCTCTCAGGCCTGCACATTCCAGAATCTTACCTGACAGCTCTTGTTCAAGCCACCTGCAGGAAAAACAGATGGCCCCTGGATCACTCCACCCTCTACACCGAGGTTACCAAATACAAAACTGCAGAAGACATCACTGAAGGGCCTACACAAGGTAAGTGACTTTGGTTATTTGAGGGGAAAAAAAAAGTTAATTGAGGCCAGAGGGGAGAAAGAGAAACTGCTTGGCCTGCAGAGTGGAATTAATTTGATTATACCTCTGCAGATAACACATGCAGCCGTGGTTTTTAACAGTCCACATGGTTATGTGCTGGGAATGGGCCAGGTTCAGGTTCCTGCTTTGCTGCTGAGCTGCTGTAAACTGAACTCTTCATTCTTTCTCCAGCTTTTTCACACACACACATTCAAGTATTTCTTCAACTTACTTTGCTCTTCTCTCCATATGCATTTTCTTAATAAGGAAAACACTACTTCATCCTAGCAAATTTTTAAAGATACATCTACAGTGCAAATAATGTATGTAAACAAAAAGGTAAATACAGCTATGTGTTACTTATTATGTAAAGATGATATCCTTGAAATTTTGATGGCTCGCAATGTTCTAATTACTAAATACAGCACATGCAGGATATAGGGCCAGACTAGCATCTCTAAGTATTAGACCTCACTGACAAAAACAGAGATACCTTCCCCCTCCATTTCCAAACACAGCTTTCAGTTAATATCAAATCACTTTCTTTTCTGTATTTACTAACATTCAAACCTCCACCTTTTGTCAGCATGATGTAACCATCAGAGTGACAGAGCTTGCTCAGAACTGGGCTATTACACAAGCAAATAACTGGAAGACAGCATCTGCTGTAAGAAAGAAAACTACAAGAAAATCAGTATTTAGTCCTAATGCTGTTTATCATATATAATGCAGCTAAGCCAGTTTCAATAGAAATTTGTCTTAAAGGCAGAGCTTGCAGCTGTATTGTAAGAACAAACACACAGGTAAGTTACATACCTCCCTGCAGGTGCAGTTTGTGAGTTCTGTCATTACTGCCTAAGTGCTGAGGAACAGGACAGCTACTGCAGGGACATCTGCCATACACTGCTGTAGCTGCTTGATTCACACAAGATGTTACATTTCTGCCTTTACAGGCTGCTTTGTTTCTGGCCTATTTCTGGAAGGGGCAGACTGGGACACAGAGAACAGCTGCCTAATAAAAAGCAAGCCTGGGGTGCTGGTGGTGGAGTTACCCATCCTGAAGATAATTCCCATTGAAGCACACAGGCTCAAACTCCAGGTACCTTTCCACTGGGGACAGGGATAGATTTGCTTATCAACTTCCTCCTATTTTTAAATCTCAGTAGCTGCTAGTCCTTTTGCTCTTAGCACAAGCAGCACTATTATTGCCATTAGCATGTAAAACGTGCAGCATAAAGTTTCTCCTCGGTCCTCAGAGTGAATTTCTGAAGACAACCATCTCGTACAGACCTCCTGCTTCCACTTTCACACAGTACTTTGAGCACTACTCAGTGTCCTCTTTTCCTCCACACTCTTTAGAACACCCTCCGGACACCAGTGTACACCACCTCCGAGAGAAGGAACGCGATGGGAGTTGGCCTTGTTTTTGAAGCTGATCTTTATACCACAAAGCACATTTCCCATTGGGTGCTTCAAGGCGTTTGTCTCACTTTGAATACAGACTGACAGTTCGGAGTTAGGCACTATGTTATCCTCTCTAACGCAGGGGATGCTATGAGGGAAAAAAGAAAAAGAAGAGGCAAAGCCTGAGCCCCAAGGTGGGGTCGCATTGGGCACACCTGACTTCTAGTAGTATGTTACAACTGTGAGCTGGTGGCATCAATAAACACTTCTAAAAAGGAAAAGATTTATCATTTGTATTTCCTCTTAGAAACACTTCAAGCTGGTGGTATGTGTTTGTATGTATATATGTATGTATGTATATGTGTATATATATGTATGGGAAAAATATATATACATATATATATGGGAAAGATGTAGTAAGGTAGTCTCACAGACACAAAGACTAAGGTTTGGCCGTATGGTTGTAAGAAATGTTTTTAATTGCCCAAAGCATCACTTCTGCTGGGTTTGGAAGCGATGCCTTCCATCAGCCTTGAACAAGTGGCAGGGTAGTTCACTCATACAATAGCCATAAAAATATGGCAACAACCACCAAAAAAATTCCCAAACCGAAAACACTGCTGGTAAATACAATACACTTAGAACTCCAGGATAACAAGCTTTCTTTAGCCAATCATTTTTCAGGAACAGAGCTTTTCCCTATCCCTCCCCACAATTCATGAAACAAATCCTAGCACACGGCTGGCAAGGCACAATGCTGACAAGCATTTCTTGGGCTTCTCAAACTAGCAAGTGCCTGAGCTGTGAGAGTGCACAGGGACAGGGCACAGAAAGCCTTCAGGTCAGTGGACATTCAAATCCTCTCTGACTGGGACCAACCCTGCTGTAAGTTAGCATGCTGCACAGGGAAGTTAGCAGTATCACAGGTAAGAAGAACAGCTTTTTTCATCCTGTCAGTGCCTTTTTTGGGGGGAGGAGGGAGAAAGCTGACATAGTTACCCAAGGCTCCAGAGGAAAACACACCAACACACAGCTGCAGAAAAAAAGCTGAAGGGGCAAACTACAGCTGGCAAGGGGAAGGAAAGAGGGCAGGCAGGGATCCTTCATCAGCTTTTACAAAGGTTACGTGTTCCAAATTTTTGAAGGCACATCATAAGCTTAGCAGCATTTGGGAGCTGTTTTTTCTTGCTGGTCCTACTCAGAGGCTGCAGACAAGAGTGAAGCAGAGGCAAGCTGGAGGTGCTGATCAGAATTTAAGAAAAACTCCTTTCCAAAAATTACATACACAGCTCTCAGTATGCCTTTCTTTCCTAGAAAAAAGAACAAAAAGAAGAAACAAAAATCAAGTAGTCTAACAATAGATGCAGGGTCTACCTGTTGCTAACTAGCCAGGGGAACCAGGACAAGAACAAGGCAGGTGCATCCCAAGTGACTAGGATAAAAATCGAGGATGCCAGGTTCTCCTCTTGTAAGAAGTGGGTAAATCAGTTACGTTTAAAACTGAGTACACACATTTTAGAAGGACAGCTCAGGCTTCTAAGCTATTAGAAATCAGAACTGACCACTGATACCCTGAATAAGTCTAAACTTCTTAAGAAAAAAAAAACACAAAAAAACAACCTTTATAAAAAAAGTGCAGGTTAGAGCATAAAGAACCATTCTCATACAGGACAGTCAGGTACATTTTCTCCCTGAAAAAAAGGAGCTCTGAGCCAGTATGGAAGGTGCCACAAGTGCAGTGTACTCACTGACTAGTGTAAAATGTGCATTGAGGCCATTCAGTTTAAAAAAAACAAAAACAACATGTTCATACTCTTTCTGAGAGGATCATTAACCATTAAAGACAGTGATTTTTCCATGTTTCTTCCTCTTTTTTTACTTAAAGCCACAAACCAAATTACTTAGGACTAAACAATGCTTACTGGGACTCTCAGGACTTTGAGAAACTATGAACACAGTTCACAACTGAGAGCATTTGAAGGAAAAAAGTCCTTAGTTTGTTTTAAAGTGTATGTACAGCCGCATGGATTTTCAGTGCTACCATGAGGAAGGTTTTGTCATGAGAGTTAATGTTTGTGTATGAAGTAAATGCTACATACACAGTGAAGACAAAAGAACCATTGCTATTTCAAATGCTAACAGCCAATACCTATTGCTGCAGGTTAATAGGTAAGTTTGTTTTCACTAATATTATTAATAACACAGCCTGCAGCATGTGCCTTTGTCCACACGTGTAGATACAATAAATGGAGCAGTGCTCAGAAGCAAGCAGTCAGGTACCCCTGATTTGGCCACAGCATTTAGTAGTTATATACCTTGCCATATGAACACAGTCCTAGTAGGTTTCAATAGAGGAGGATAATCTATTAATGATGTATCTGGAAGAAGTTTGGCATGCATGGGGCATCAAAAGAAACTTTACTGCAGGTGCTATTTATCCTATGGGATCACAGTGCATAAACAGCAACAGAATAGGGCAGCAGTGATTTGACTCAAACAGTTCTGTCCGTCCCTGAGTGCTTTCTGACCACCTTGCTTCCATTGACCTGATCCACCGCCAGCGTTTCAACCTCCGGCTGAGGCTGGGAGGGCGCAGCGTGGTGGATGCGATGCGCCACGCCAACGTGCGCCTTGTGCGGCTTCTCTCGGGCCGGGCTGTGCGATTCACCGGCTGCTCGATCCGAAGCAATGGGTGGAATAACCAGTGGCCTCTCCTTAATGAGGTGGACCTCTGACGTTTCTCTGGCCAACAGAAACGGAGTGGGATCAGGCATGGCATCCACATGCTCTCTTAACAGCAGCTTCCGACTATCCGACCCTATTCTGTAGGCCTCTTCAAACTCCGGGTTGAGCGGTGTTGACAAACTCTTCTTCATTCTGCGCCGTGGAGTCTCAGGCAGTTTATCTTTGGGAGGGGCTGGCTTATAGCTGGACAACACTGGACTGCCTGAAGGGGTCCCCTCCGAAGTCCCACTTGAACTCATCAGCTTCTTCTTAGTAGCGTGCAGTTGAGAAGTTAAATAAGCGATAGTGCTTGCTCTCTGCTCTAGTTCACTTGACAGCATATTGAGCTTATGGCTTTTCATTTTTAACTCTTCCAAATACTTCTTTTCTCTTTCTTTAATAGTGTTTTCCAGCACCATTATCATTGCGTTCTTTTGTTCAAGTTCTTTCAATAATTCGTTATTTTCAGCCTCTTTGGCTTTCAGCTGAGCTTCAAGATCTTCACACTTTCTTTTGAGTTCATCACTTCTTGAACTAATGCTTCCTAGAAGAACAGGAAAAGCAGAAGCATTTCCAAGTTAACGATAGTCACTAAGAAAAATGCTGCAGCAGGGTTCCTTTTGGCATTCCAAAGCCATAGGAAGAGCCCAAAGATCAACCTCTGCCAATACTGTTGCAATTGCTTCATCTTCAGAAGCAGCAGGATGGCTTTTACAGGAAAAGGTGAAGAGTTAGTGCCACTCACTATAGTTTAAAAGATGCTTCCTGCATTGAGAACATGGATTACAGAAATTATGCTTGCAGAACTTGCTCCAAATTGGAGCTACCTTGCAAATTTTCTGATCATTAATTGGAATTTCTCCCTCAGTTAATGCCAGGTGGCTGGTGAGCATGATGGAACAGCTGTCTCAGCTTACCAGGAGAGGCTGAAGCTTTAGCTTTGGCTATTCACAGATGGCTGAAGCTTGTGACTTTGGAGGCAGAGTGGGTTCTCTTTGCTGCTGCACGAGTCTCTCTGGGGCTCAGGTGTCTGAGCCTGCCTGCCTTCTTTTCACAAGAACACTACGCATCACTCAAGCTAGAGGATCTTGCACTGGTGAGGGCATGCCCTCAGGGACAGGCTGACCCCACACCATTGGGTGATGTCTCTAGTTATTACAGCTGAACACTTTCTCAGCTGCTCAGAAGAGATCTGCAGCCTTAATTTCTCCAATAAGAAGCCCATCTCCATCTTTTTAGTCCCATCCCCCTACCTCTCCCTACCCTTTCCCCCTTTCCCCTTCTCTGGGTTCTGGGTCCCCGCCCCATTAGCCACGGAACCAGGCCTAACCAGCCTGTAAGTAATTGGCACTTTGACATTTACTTCATCAATAACAGCGATTCTGGAAAGGAGAAAGCTACTCTTACACCATTTGAATTTATAGGCAACAATATCCCATATGCAAAGTATTCTCACCTACTTTTAAGAGAGGAAAATAAAACATTAAAAAACATGAGGCAGTTTGACATGAACATCAAAGAAAATGCTATGTATTCCTTACCTGACAAGTCTGAACTCTTCACAGTCAGCTCATAGGTTAGGTCTGGGGGAAATAAATAGTTTTTTTTTTTTTTTTAGTACAACAACATATAAGCCACTCAGCAAGCATATTTAAAATAACAGGAGATGCACTGCAAGTTATCAAATCTTAAGCAACCAGAACAAGGAGGTAAGACAGGCTTTTTTTTTTGCCTTTTAAGCAACTTTGCTTAATGAGCACATTTGTCATGCCCTGAGATACATAAACCCAAAAGATACACTGTGATGGGCTCTACTGCCCAGCTGTTACCCCACCCTTGTGAGAAGAGGCAAGCACTGACCCAGCACCCTCCCAGGTACCTGTGCAGTGCTGCTGCAGGCGCCGGATCTCAGCATGCAGGCCCTTCAGGGTGCTGGCGTGTTCTCTCTGGAGAAACAAGAGGTTCTTCTGGGCGCTGTGCAGCTGATTCTCCAGGTTTGAAGTTGCCATCCTGGCATGCAGTTACTCTGTCAGTGAACAAGAGGTAGAATTGTATCAATGACTTAACTTGCAGGTAGATATAAAGATCCTCACTCTGCATCCTGGTTCAAGAGAAACAGCTGAATTATACTGTTAATGAATTGATATGCTACTAAGCAAGTGCCTCAAAAGTAAAAGGTTTTCCTGTTTCATGCTATTTCAATTGGAAGTACTCTCATTTCAGACAGCCTAATTTAACTCTAGGCCAGAGCAGCATAGGGAACTCATTTTTTTGGAGTTAACACATTTAAAGGATTAACTTCAGACAAAGTCACTAATCCTGTTATAAGATAAAAGTAGAGTTGTGAGAAATAGGCCATAATGCCTCTGTCTTGTTGGGGGTTTTCCATTTACCTCCGGGGATACAGGAATTAGTAACATCCCTGGATGTTCTTCCATATGGAAGAAAGGACTGAATTGCAGTGTCACTACAGAGGAATACAAAACAAGGAATCCTTAATGCAGCTGAGTGCAGCCATGCACACTGAACTGGGAGGAGAGCTCTCTGCCTGCTGCTATTGCATTTCCTCACTGTGCTCCAGCCAGCACTGGTGCAGTCCTCGTGCCACCAGAGCCTGACATCCCACACAGGCCTCAGTGATACTGTGAGTAAGATGGGGGACAAGCAGAACATCTCATTTAAATAATAAACTTGCAGAACGGGCAGCAGCACATAACGGATGGGAATCTCATTGCCATGGGGGGGAGAAATGCCACCCTTCCCTGGGCAGCACACAGCACAGCAGCCTCCTCCCAGGAGCAGCAAGGACAGGTCTGCAGGGTGCAGCTGGTGATGCTGGGGTGCTGCTGGGAGCCACGCCATCCAGCAAGGAGACAGGAGGCAATGCTGGGTTCAACACAGCTGATGCAGAACCAGCACTGCTTTGCTATTTCGCTACTGATGCTCAATTCAGTTATCTAAGTTCTGTAAAAGCAGTTGCATTATTTAGATTACAAAGATAAGAACTAGGATTCTCACTGCCTGGACAATCATATATAGCTGTGGGACCCCATGCTGTGCAAGAGACAGATCTTAATTCTACTCCCTGGGGACACAGATAGCTTAATTGGTTCATACTGCTTCATAAAATGCTTTCCATTGTGCTCTTTTGGTGTGTAGTTTTATGACACAAATTTCATTCCCCACATTTAAAATAAGTAGAACACATGCCCTGAGAAAGCAACACGCTTCTGTCATTCATAACAGATAACACAGCCCTGCTTTAACTGTGCATCTTTCATTACAGAAGGAACTTTTGTATCAAGACTTACAGCCCCGATAAAATACCTGAAAATACAAAAATGTGTGCACACAGCCCTCCCAGTTCCATGGAAGTGAGTGTGACAGCAGGACAGAGCCAGCTTCACAGTGCATGCCATCAGCATGGCCGGAGCTGAGACTGCACAGAACACCAAGGCTCAGAGGGATGTTTATCAAATGTATTTCCTGACAAACACTGAGCAGCAGCAGTGCTACGTAACCAAACAGCCTGTACATGGCACTCTGAAACCTTCACTACCAAATGGTTACTCAGCATTGCCAGGTTTGGTGTCTCTGTCACCTCAACAGACGGCAACTTCACCCCCAGCAACAAACAAAAATGAGAAGTATTTACAACTCGACTCCCGAAAAATACACTTATTTTTAACCTACTTCCAGTGTGAGAAAAAGCAAAACAGACTGCCACTATTAATCTCTTCATCTATTTTTCCATTTTGGTTTCTTGCATATTAAAGATCACACTAGGATTATCTAGTCCGAAGAAAAATTATCAGAGGCAGGCTAGCTTTATTGGCTAAGGCAGAAGATAAAAAATGATCAGCACCAGAGCATCATTTCCCCTGCAGCACTGGTAAGTTAATCAGTGGGCACAATTAAACCAATCCGCTCTGATGAGTTTCAGCTGCAGCCCCTCTGAAAGCAGTCCCTGCCTCCTGAGGATGGAGATCAGAGGGCTGGCATTCCCCCAGGCCGCCCGCAGCCATTGCAGAGGTGATGTGGAAGGGAAGTGCCCTGTGGTACAGTCACAGCACAGCATTCATGGACAGCAGCTCCAGTGTTTTTCCTCCCTCATTCGTGCAATAGGAATTTCCTTCTAAGCTCAGCTGCAGAAGCATTCACACCCGCAGTGTGAACAGCTCTCACACACCAGTGCATCACACGCGTTTCCCTCACCTCTTATTTTTCCCCCATAGGAACTTTGTAGCCAGTACCTAACTAGAGAGCAGGCCAAACTAACAAAGCAGAAGCCACCAACTGAGAAAATACTTCTCTTCCTAGAATGGCATCACATGCCCTAGAGATAACACAGCCAACTGGGCACAGGATGACTGGAGACACGGGCAGGATGCACAGTGAAGCAGGCCAGCAGCCCAGCTGACCTAGGAGGGCACACAGTTGTACCCAGCACACCCAGAGCAGGAGCTCCACAGGTGGGACACTGCTGGTGTCCCTCCAGGAAACACCGTGCTGAGAGCGACTCCTATAATGCAGTTTCAAGATTGCAGAAAACTCCTGCTCTTCCAAACCATAATGAACGTGCAGTGGCTACAATCAAGAAGTGAAATTTAAGGGGTAAAAATGCAGGTGTCAGCCAAGTCCTTAGCAGCCCAGATGAGCAATCTTCACCCTCACCATGGAAATCAGTGGGACAGACTTCAAAGCTACCAACTTCTGGCTGGATTTCATCAGCCAGATTAAGCCAATGCTGGAAAGAAAGCTGTGACTGCATACACCAAAGAACAGCTCTGTCACCATGGTTTTTCCTCCTTCCTCTCCAGTGCTTTCTCATTTATTTTACATTCCCAATGTTCTTATACAAAAGGTGTCGTGTGGTGCAGAGCTACACACTGAGCTACCTGACAAACAGCAGCCAGGGAGGCATGTGTCATTGGATTAAGATGACAAAGCATTAAAAGGGGCAGAGCAGCGTCTGACACCACAACAGTAACACAGCCCTCTCCTTACAAAGTGAGGCCAGCACCAAAACCCTCTTCCAAAGCTTTATTTGTATGCTATGCTGCATTCCATCCTTGCACATGCACTATTTCTCATTTCCCAGCATCACAACCATCACAAAACATCTCTAGCTATAGCTGCAGATGTAGATCTGGAGACAGCTCAGATTAAGCCTATGAACAAGAGACTCCAAGGCACAACTTCATCACACACAGCTCATCACAAACAACGGCTAGCAATTCAATAGACAGATCTTGCCTTGCAGAAGCCATGCAGGCTGCGGGCCGTTTCTGATCATAGGCACTTGGTTGGAGTTCCAAATACATCAGTGAAGTGAGTGTTATTTTCGGGCTGTGGTGCACCAGGTCAGAGCACACCTCCGCCCCACTGCAAGGGAAGAGCCAGCAGATGCTCATCTATGGTTTTAGACACAGCCTAAAGGAAACCACTGAAGCCCAAGTGACTGTAGTTATTAAAGCCACCTGCTTGGTATCCACTGCACAAAGCAGATGGGGTGACTGTCACCTGGAAAGCCCCCTCAGCTCCCTGCCAGCAGATACAGGCAGGCTGTGATCTTCCTCTCCACTGCTGCCCAGCCATCGCTCCCTTGGAATGTGACAAAAGCTGCCAGAATGCTTTCTGTATGTGGCACAAAATACAACCTCAAAAGCCAATTAGGGACATAAGTTCTCTTGGAAGAACTTTATATTGAACTGACCAAACATTCCTAGCTGTATCTCTAACAACAAAACGCCAACCAACAGACACTTAGCTGTTCTTTGCTTAGATCAGCTCTCCCATCTCCACAGACTTATGCCATCCCAATAGTGTTTGTTCAGCTTATTTCAAAGGACGTCCTGAAGGAAACCACGCAGTCTCCACAGTCAGCTCAAACTCTGCTATCCTGCACAGACATTTGCTTTGCCCCCCAGAGCCAACACAATACCACGATTTTCCTACTGCTGCAGCCCCAGCAGTAGCACAGCCTGACCCCCTCCTAGTACACAAGTTCAGATTTAGTCACCCCTCAGTGCTCTGTGCATTGGATGGAGCCCCTCTAACCAGGCACTACTTCCCACAGCTGGGCTCTCAGACCATTCACCCGCACACAGCCCTGCCCCCATGCCATGCACTGCACAGCCACAGTTCTACAACAACAAAACAAGAAAATGGGCTGCAGCAAAGGTTTGAGAGCTGCTGCTGGGAATGCAGTGGCAGTGATTACCTGTGTGTGCATCCACCTGTAAGCAAGGATGCCAAGTCTGACTGCACACACACAACACTGAGACAGCTACAGATGCAGGCACCTGACACCCTCGCAAGGAACCAGGAGAACAAAAGACCATGCAGAGCTCCATCACACCTTCATGAGGAGCGGGAAGCAATCGAACACACGTGAGAAGCATGCACACCCCTATCATCAAGGAGCCCTGCCACTGATGACACAATTCATGTGTTCTTCTGACACAGATGGACACTTCTAGCAGCAAACCTAGGTTCTGTTCCCATTTCTATTAGCCCTTTAACACCCCCAGGAGAAACGAGCTGGGAAAACATCATAGAATCACAAGGTTGGAAACGACCTGTAAGATCATTTAGTCCAACCATCTTCACATTACCACTGCTACCACAAGCACTAAACCAGATCTCACAGCTCCTCGTCCAGACGCCTCCAGGCGCCATCACCAAAGTTGTTCACTGACCACACAGATCCTGACCAACACCCACTGTGGCACTGCTGGATGTCCTCACTTACAGCAAGACAATGCTGCTATCATTAAAAAATGAACACAGAGACAAACGAGGCACGCATTCACCGGAGACAGGACAAACACATCAGCGAGGCTGGCTCTTACCAACAAGTGAAGCAACCAGAGAGAAGCAGAGCCTCGGGCACCCACCCATGTCCCACATCCCCGCTGCCTTTGCAGTGCAGCACCGCGCACTCAGGGCAGGCTGTGGCCAACAGCACTGCAGCTCCAGGCAGTGCTGCTCAGCCAGCACAGCTCACTGCAGCACACCGCCATGGATGGCAGCACTGCAGAAGGCACACAGGCACACAACCTGCTCTCTGTGCTGTTGTTTCGCAGCAGCTCCGGCACACGCAGCGTTCTGCAGCAAAGCACCACAAACCAGGCCGCACGGAGCCCAGCCTCGTGCCGCTGCCTTTTTCAACACCAAAGTCCTTCAGCCTTCCCTTTCTGTTTGTTTTTTAAACCACGGCAGCAGCAATAAAACGACAATCCATGCTACGTCTGGCCAGAGCACATCCATCTCCTTCACAGATCCCATCCGTTGGTCGCTCATCAAAGCCCCACTGTTAGCTGCTATCACTTGTGAGCCATCGCTAAGCATCGGAACGCTTCAGACAAATGAAGCTATCAGTTCTCTGCAAAGCCAGCACCGCTCGTTACATTCCTTTCTTTTCTTACTATGAGAAATGAGGTGAGATGGGAACTTGAGCAAAAGGATGAATTACGTAAATGTTCCCTTTACCCAGGGAGCATCGCAAGGCGCTGCCAAGCTCAAGGATACAAAGGCAATCTTCGGATATTTTGCTGTTTTAAAACAGTTTCTTAACCCAGGAGGAAGTACTAGGAGCCCAGTAGTACTGGGAGTAAAGCTCCAAACTCAATCACTGCAACTGTGTATCTCCTACTACACCGCTTGTAACGCTCAGGACGTATTTTGTTGTGCATTACACCCCAGGTTCTGGAATAACAGCACTGGGGAGTTCTTGTCCTGCTGTTAGAGAACCAAGTAACCCAGCAGACCCGAATGAACGTACTGCCCTCAATACCTGCAGCCTTCGAGCACACACCGCAGGCTGATTTTTGTCAGTGAAACGATAAAACGCATTAAAAGAAATAATTTGAAAGCTCTAAAAGCGTGCAGTTCTACCTGGGACCTGAAATAAAGGGCACAGCTTCAAGGAACGCAATTAAACTCTGCGGTAACGACCTCGACAAGGACGGGGCTGAGGACCGCACGCAGCTCCGGGCCGCTCGGAAGACCTTCGTCTTTTTGGAAGGGAACGGGGAGGAACCGCGCAGACACGGCGAGCGGAGCGCGGGGAGCGCGGAAGGCAAAGGGGGCGCGGAGCTGCGCTGATCGCCGCTCGCTCCGCCACAGCCGGCACCGCGCCGGGACTCGAACCCCCCGCACGCAGCCACGGGCGCACCGCCGTCGGCTCGCCAGGCGTGAAGCGGCCCGAGCGCCGGGATCCGGAGCGCCGAGCGTCGCTCCCAGCAAAGCCGGGACGATTACCTCCGCCTACGGGCGAGCTACGCGGCAAACCGGCGCCGCGTTCGCAGCCGCATCCGATCCGTCCGCGCCGCCCCGGCCCCGCAGCCACCCGGCGCGCCCCGCCAACCCTGCAATGCAGATCGCCCCCGCCCCGGCCCTCCGCCGCCCGGCCCCGCGCGGCCCCGCCCCCGCCGGTTCGCCGTGCAGCCCGAGCGGCGGCGCGGCGTCGAGGGGCCGCCGCCCTGCGGACGTCGCCGGGGCGCCCGCGGCCCCTCAGCCGGGCGGGGACGCGCGCCGCGCCCCGTCTCCCCGTCCGCGGCCCCTCACCCGCTCTCGGCCTTCCGAGGGACCCTCGGACCGCCGCTACCCGCTCATCGCCTCGCCGAGCCCCGCGGGGCCGCCGCTCGCCCACCGGCCGCGGGGTGGGGGGGAGGGACGGGGGCGGCGGCGCAGGCGCAGGTGCGGTTGCGGCAGCCCGGCACGTCGCTATGGCGACGGGGGTCAGCGCCGCCGGCGGCCGTTGCCGTGGCCACGCCCGCTCCGGGAGGGCGCGCGCCGGGAGCGAGCTGCGCGTGCACCGCGCTCGCCGTGCGGTGGGGGCGCGTCTGCGGGGGGCGGCACGTGCGCTTGCGCGTGCACGTACAAGCCGGCCGCGTGTGCGGAGCGTCTCCCGGTAGCTCGCGTGCGCACGTGTTCCTGCAAGACCTCCGCTGTGAGCGCGGCCGCAGCGGGACGGCGGTGCGACGGGACCCCGGTGCGAGGCTGCGATCCGCACCCTGCGTGCGCACCGTGTCTCTGTGCCGTTTGCTGCAGGAACGCGTGCGGTGGCTGAGCTGGGCGGGCCCCGCCTTGTGCGGGAGCTGCTCCGTAGGATTGAGATCCCTTCCAGCCGCACCGATTCTGTGACGGGACGGAGCGGCCCCGGCACGGCGGTGCGGTTGGGACGCCCGGAACGCGGTCCCGCAGCTCGGCGCTGTTAGAGCGGTGCTGGCACAGCGTTGCCGTGCTCTCTAGCGGGGTGCTGTGAGCATCAGTGTTTGCTTTCAGTTTTTAGCAGCAGCTCCAATAGATCTGCCTGGCCTTGATCTGGAAGGAGCAAGCTGCTCCCTGCAGCAGCGGGTGGCCAGAAGGGCTTTGCATCCTTGACATCATGCACTGAGCAGAACACTGAGTGCACGCTGCCCTTGTCTCATCCATTAAACGTGCACGTGAACTGACCTGCTGCCCAGCTGCAAAGCGTTGCCCTGTGGCTGGGGGGAGGTAAGCAGCCCTTTGCTGTGTCAGCTCCTTATCTCCACCCACCAACCACGCGTTTGGACAATCCATTATTTTTCAGCACTAACTCATCAGGTGGATGTAAGCCAGAACGGTGACTGCACATTTCCTAACAATGCAAAGCACTTCCCACCTTTCAGTTATATCATGGGCCTTTCCCAGGAGCCTGGGCTCCCCTTTCAATCAGAAGATGTGTGATCAGGGTCCAAATCTGCTTTCCAAAAGCTCTTCAATTGAACAGCTGAGCTCAGTCAGCCCACAGGACACAGAGCCCAAACCTTGGGTCAATAACAGAAGACCAAGTGGATTTTTTCAGGGGCAAAAGAAGACCTCTGACATCTGCATTTCATGTTTAAAGCTTTTGCAAAAACAACAGCAACAGCAAAATCTATCAGCAGTCACTGACAGACGTGTGTATGCATGCCCAGGCTCTGCCCACTGCATTCTACTGAAGATCAGCAGGATAAAGGGCAGTGACCTCTGTGTTCTGGGAGCACAGTATGGACACACAACCACCTGCTTTCTGTCCGACCTGGATGTGCTGTAGCTGTTACCATGCAGTAACTCTCACTGCATACCCTCACACACAAACTGTGATTGCTTCCTTTCCGGTCAGTGATGGAGTTGCTCTGGAGGAGCAGATTCTCAGTGGGAGATGCACCCTTGGGCCAGAGAATTGTTAAATCATCAGCATCAAGAAACTTCCTGCAATGGGACCTGACAGCTGTACGGTACTAGGCTGAGGCTGTGTTTATTCTGGAGTATTTGCCTGGCTAACACAGAGCTCTTTTTTTTTTCTCTCTGAGTAATTTCCCATCATTGCTACCACATGGGTTCATTTCCATGGCAGAGGAAGAGAGGAGGCACTGGAGCTGTCAATAGCTGAATCAGTACCATCATCCCAGCAAGAGCTGGGGCTGACGCTCTCCTCCCCGCAGGGTACAAGCAGGCAGACAGCACAAAATCCTGCCTGCACCTGAGGGAATTCAAGCACAGAAGAACTGCAAAACTACAGCAGGGGGTCCAGAAAGTCCTCCCCCAACCACAGTCTGTGTATTGTAACCCTGCTGAGTGTTTGGCACCCTGCTGAGTCACCCATGGCTCCACGCACAGTCCCACCACCAGCTCAGGTCATGGAATCATAGCATCATCAAGGCTGGAAAAGACTTTTAAGATCCCCCAGCCCACCCCCGCCGTGCCCACTGGGCACATCCCTCAGTGCCACATCCCCACGGTTCCTGACCACCTTTGGGGACGGTGACCCCCCACCTTCCTGGGCAGCCAGTGCCTGTGCCCAGCCTGCAGAGCTTTAAACCTTGTTGGACAGAGGGAGGAACACAGCACTCATTTTGCAGACGGGAGATTCAAGGCACGGAAATATTAAATAACCTGCCAGAGCACACTGGGAAGCTGAGCTACACTGCCGGAGGGCTTGCCTCACATTTTGAGAGAAACGATCTCTATTCCCATGGAACAGAACAGAACAGGCTTACTGCTAGCTAGGGAAGTACAGATGCCTGTAATCTGCTTTGCAAAGAAAATGGGTTTAAACAATCAGAAAACAGCACCAGGATCTGAGCGTGCACTGTGAATCTAAAACACACTCTAGCCTTGAGGTGCAGCATTCTGCCTCACTTCCCTGATAGTGGCTGGTATTGACCTGCAAATTGGGGTCATGTGTGGCTTTTTTTCTTTTTTTTTTTTCCTTTCTCCTAGGCTGTAAAATAATTAGGCCTGTTCCCCAGTTAGTTTTGCTCCTTGCATCTGGGAGGGTTTGTGCTTGCTGTTGAGGAGCACTGCGTGTCTGGGAGCTGTAAAGATGCCTGTGGTTTTATTGCTAGGCTTTTACAAACCTCAGGTTTGTGTTTTTATGATGATGACTGCTGTGAGGACATTTAAAAAATACTGTGTTTCACTTTGATATTGTGTTTCACTGTGCTGATCTTCCTCTTGAAGTTTCAGGGAATTGGGAGTCACCGGCAAAACACGCCAGGTTGGCCCAGGAGAACTCCTTCACCCCAAGTCCTACCTTTGCCAAGCTGGAGAGGCCCAGGCTGTGTTCAGTGATTAAACTGACATAGGCTCAAGGTAGTGCAGAGCTGCGTCAGAACAAAGCAGGGCATGCTGTGGTGTTCACAGCCCCTCTTACCTTAGACTAATGGTAGTAGTGAGACATAGGGATGCACTGGCACTTGGCTGCTGTTAAGCTGTATCAACTCTCTCGTTACAAGTCGGGGGAACTCTAAAACCTCATCCTTCTGCCTTGAAGTTACAGGATTGTTTCCATTAGCTTGCTGAGAAGACTGGAAAGGCACATGGGAACCTGCAGACACAAAACTTGTGGTCAGTTTTGGCTCTCATCTTTTTATCGTGTTTGATTTCAAAGGAGCTCAAAGAACCTGGCAACCATTAAGGAGTTGGTAATACAGCTGTAAATTACATTGCAGCGTCCTGAAAAAGAGCCATTTTCAGCATTTGGAAAGAAGAAAGTTAAACTGCATTTACTGTATAAGCTGTGGCAAACACTCAGCCCTTCCAGTTGATGGGATGAGGATGGGAACGGCTTAGGTTAGGATATTTTTAGATGCTGGGAGTAATCCTGTATTATTTATTATCAGAGATGGTTTGGTCCAGCCACTGATAATGACAGTGCTGTAGTCACTGAGTCTCTGCCTTAAATAAAGTATTCATGGATGCCATTAAAACGCTGTTGCTCATGTCCTCAGCAGATTTTGCAGTGATGAACTCTGAAATAATGGTGGAAGGAAAGGATGCATGAGCAAGAGGCAGGAGTCACTGGGGGCCCAGTGTGCTGCTTTGCCTTGGCCCTACTGCTGATCAGTGCCCTTCTGTGAGGCAGATCCCTTCTGTTGGCACTTCTCCTGGCTGGGACTGATGCTGTGCAAGTCTCTGGTGCTTGGAATAATAGGACTGAGATGTTGTGGAGGATTCCTGGCATCAGAGGGATGCCAGCAGAAGATAATCAGCAGCCTGAGGTCACTGGGTTGCATGAACAAAAAGCTGCTCCATCAGACACAAATCCCTTCTCTGGGGCTTGCTGAAGGCAGAGTCCCTGATGCAGGCTCCTCCGTGGGTCTCCATGCATGGGTAGGGCATGGGCAGAGCTGGGCTTCAGGGGATGGTTCTGAATAAAACTAGGAGAGATAGAAGGCTTTGTGTTTTGTTTTGTGTTTTCCCGTACAGGGTATGGTGGTTTGGCATCTGCCAAGTGAACAGATTAAGAACAGATGGGAAAAGATGTGAAACCCCATTGATCTCTGAGGGATTATTTCAGAAACACAGAGCACAAGCACATGCTGGCCCCTTCTCTCATGTCCTTTTTGCAAAGACTGCCCCTAATGTGCTTCATGCTGGTGGAGAGCTCCTTTGCCCCTGCACCTCGGGCAGCTCCAATCTCCTGCCCTTCTCTGCTCTGCTCCTTCCAGCCCCCATCATCTTATGCCTCATTCAGGCTGTACTGGGGGAACTGTTAATGGAGAAGGGCTGCACTCTGCCCAGTACACGCAGCCTAAAGGCACAGATTCCCTGACAGCCCTCCTTTGTCTGCACTGCAAGCAGCCAGCTTAGCTCCAATTCACGGTTGGATTACTGTCCATCTGTAAAACAAGTCAGGTTGCAAACTCCACATAACACATCCCTACCCAATACTGTCCCTAGGCAGAGTATCACCACATGCATTTTTTATTTGCAGCCAGCAGAGGACACTTGTTTTCTTTGCAAAAAGCTTGCCCTGTGCTTGGATGGGAGAAGGCAAAAGAAGAGAAGATTCAGAACTTGACCACATGTGGGCACTGGAATAGCAAGAGATGGGCCTGGTCTTCTGGTCCCAAGGTCTGGTGGTGCCTTTTTCCTTGGCCTTTCACAAGAAGCTGGAGATGTGCCTGCAGCACGCTGCAAATGTGGGGGTGGGCTGTGCTGTGTTCCCTGGGCCATGTGATGGCTGTCCTCTCCTGCCTGCAGCCCCCAGCTGTGGTGTCACCACAATTCATTCCTTGGGTGGCAGGAGGCCATGTGGGTGGACTTGGCATCAGAGATGCTGGTAGCAGTGCAGATCTCAGTGCAACATGCAAGGCTTTGGCAAGTGCTGCTGCTGAGCTTCAGTAAAGCTCTCTATTGCATGGCTGGTGATTTGTGGGAAGGTACCCAAAAAAAGAGAGGAACCTCAGTGGAAAGCCCTAGAGGTGCAGAGAACCT